CGATCCGTTGCCGGACACGGAAAAAAGACAAAAGACAAAAAAAAAATAAAATAAAATAAACTCCTGAAACTTAGACCGCCTGGGATAAGCATATATGTTGGTGGTTATGAATATATAGGTTATAGCTTGAGATCACTCTAGAAAGAACGTGTAGTATAAGAAAAGGGACAAGAATACAATCTACTTAAGTGACTAAAAGGGGGTATCTGGAATAAGGCTAAGGTAGAATGAAGTAGTTAAACAGATGGTCTTTTAAATCAGACTGATCTGGGTTTAAATTTCTGTCTTTGTGATTCATTAGCTGAGAGACCTTGAGCAAATTCATTTAACCTCTCCAAGCCTCTGTTTCCACTGCTGTAAAAATGGAGATACGGACCACCTCATATGGTTTTATACATACACATTATAAACATTGCAACATTTACTGAAAGCCGATAAATAGTGCCAATTTAACAGTGCTAGAGGACTACCTGGTTAGCTCAGTTGGTTAGAGTGCAGCTTTGTAACCCCAAGGTCACAGGTTCCGCTCCCCATACTGACCAGCCGACAGAAAAAAAAAAAAAAAATAGTGCTAATTTAAACAGTACCAAATTTATTGACTTCAATATACAGAAAGCAAGGAGCACCAAGCAATTTGTGTCCTATAAAACTGAAAAAAAAGTAGAAAAACAACTTAAATCTTTACTCGAATATATCAGCTAAGGAGGGATCCCTCTGCATGGCACATAGACTAAACATTCTCTTTAGTAATCTATATACCAAAGGCCCACTTGTCCCAGCAATGGCAAAGGCATGCATGCACTCTCACTCTTATCCTTAAAATTCCCCCAACTCTTCACCACTATTTAGCTAGGGAATTCTTAAAGTTCTATTTATGATTAGTGCACCTTGATAGATAAGGAAGAAAAAAATAAAATGCGGAGATGATTAATGTATAGCAAACACTAGCCAAAACCACAGTAAACCTGTGCTCATCAGCAATTGCTGGTTTCTGGTTTTATTACATTTTGGACTTCCAGGGAGAAATAATAAAAGCCAATGGGTTATTGAGAATTAAGCCCCTAAAACAGGCAACCTAGCAACTTAGAGTGAGTAAGCTCCAATTCTGTTATAAAAACCTAAGGGAAGGTAAACCAGTGAGTGAGGCAAAGGAGGACAAACATGCCAAGAGAAGAGAGCCCTGGCCCCACAATGTGGAACTCCTACAATGCATCCCGTGACTGTGCAGATAGTGCTGTGAGACCCAGCTCAACTCCTCAGCTTTTCCCTAATGAGAATCTGAAGCAGGGCCCCATCTGTGACCTAAACCACTGCACCGGGCAATATTATCGCTGCATCCATCACAGGCCAAAATCACTTCAAGGAAACCCTAGGTCCAAGGGTGAAAGACCCAGGTACTTAATGCTACTATTCATTATTTATCCACTATTCTTCATTAAACACCTAAGTACTTATTTCCATTGTCTGCATAAATGGGTTAAAGAGAGCACAGAGTGCCATGGGAACACACAGGAGTGGCAGTTGACACAAAAGACCTAACCAGAAGACTGGAAGGGGGAGAGAAGAGGGAAGTTTAGAGAAGAGCTTATCAGAAGAACATGTCAGAATTAGTCACTTAAAGGAAGAAAAGCAACCCAGACAGATGGAACAGCACCAGGAAAGGCAGGAAGATGTGAGAGACCATGGGGTATTGTGAAACTACAGGTAATTCAGTATGCCTAGATCATGCTGAAGAATGGGCTACAGAGAACATCAAGAAGAAAAAAAACTGCCAGATACTTTAATAATGTTTCTGTAAAACATAAAATACCGAATGCTGGGATCAGATGGGAACATTTGGAGGAGACATGGGCTTAGAGTTACTCCACTAAGTTTCATGCAAGCTAAATGTTCACATTGATCTCTGTCGAGATTTAACATGTGCTATAGGTTCCAGATAATCTGAAGGAACAGAACCACTCCATTAAATACACTTTCGCTTTTCACAGAATAACTTTCCATATACTGCCTGGCTCCCAAACACCCACCTGACCCAGACTATAGACCTTTCCCAACAGCAGAGAAAAGACGATGTAGGGGGGAATGCTTCAGTTCAGCACATTACAGTGGGAAACAGGTAACAAAAAATTATTCCTTCTATTACTGAATGCAGGCAATACTTCCTGTCAAGATTTTAAAAGGACACTTACCTATATAAGCAGTCCATATAGTCTGCACCCTTGCTATATTCTTCCCAATACCTATGATACATAACAAGTACTTGTTCTTCAGACTCCAGAACTCTCTACATAAACAGAAAAAATATTTTTACTTGTAAAGTGCTAATTATTTTCATTGTAAACTATGAAATGTACCAAAATTAATATCCTACAATAATTTACATAATTTAAGCTTTATAAATTACAATTACAAATTACATTTCAATTTAACTACCTTTAGTAAAAATCAAACAACCAGGAACAAATGTGGGTCTTAGATATGAAAGTGAAGCATCCATAATAGAGAATAAATTATTTCGTTCCCACGGATAAAAGGACAAAATGGTTTAATGCTGACTTTAGGCTAGAATTTGGGGGGGGGAGGGGAGGGGGAAGCCTAGAATATTAAGATCAGTTTAAAATAGGAGAATATAATTCTATTGTCTTATATCTATATGCTTCCTCAAATCCATTACTTTTTTTAATTGAAAGATAACATTGTATTTATCATGTGCAACATAAAATTTTGAAGTATGTATACATCATGGAATGGTTAAATCTAGCTAATTAACAAATGCATTACCTCACATAGTCAAATCCATTATTTTTAATCAGCCTTTTAGTTATACATCATCACTCCAAATTATTCACATTTGTGAATAAGACTATTTATGGAAATTGATACTTCTTCCACATTCCCAAATAATTTGTTTTATATTTCCGTAATAGAAAGCTATTGTTTTTTGAAAAATAAAAATCAAACTGAAATTTCAGGTCTACTTTTTAAAAATTTATTTTTAAAGGAAATCTAGTGTGATAATAAAAATACATTGGACTGATATTCAGGAGATTGTAGGTTCTCTTATCTGAATTCTTTCCATAATTGTCCACATGATCTAATCAAGTCATGACTTCAATTTTCATCCAATTAATTTTCCGATAAAATACTATACTTTTAAACTAGGAATTTAACAATTAAGGCTTAGAATGATAAAAATAAGATATAAATAGCACTTTTTGCCTATCAAATTGTTAAACAAATTAAAAATAGCAACTACTCTTAATACTGCTAGGGAATAGGGCACTTATGAACTGCTGTTGGTGATTGGATATAACATAAATCTGGAGAACAATTTGTTAATATGTGTCAAAAACAATAAAAAATGTATCTAACCTAGCAGTTCCATATCTAAGAATTTATCCTATAAAAAAAACCTGGTTACACAACAGTAATTTAGCTATAAGGATGTTCACGGAAGTATTGTTTATAATAACAAATTATGTAAATTGGAAACAACCTATATGCCCAGCAATATGAAAGTATTTAAATAAGTCATAGTATGTCTATACAATGAAAAATTTTATAAATCATTGCCAGGATTACAAAAGTCATTTAATAACAAAGGAAAAGACTTAACAATATTATGAAAAGCAAAAAGCAGACTATAAAAATGAATAACATGGTTTCAGTTTTAATAAAGTATAGAACTCTATACAAAGTAAAAATATGCAAAGAAAACCCACCCACATCAAATTAAATATATCAATGTATACCAAAATAGATATATTTAAATATAAATATACCAAAAATATTAACAGTTACTTCTGGAGATATGTTATGGGTGATGTTTATTTTCTTCTTTTAGCTAATCTGTATGTTGTAAATTATCTATAATGGCAATGAAATACTTTAGTAATGAAGTATTACTCCGCCAACCAAATCAAATTTTCTTTTCACGGGTGAAACTACTAAAATTCTGTTATGTAACAATTTACTTTGTCATATACACATCAACCAACGCTTTTTTGTCACAGGATCTGATAGAAAATATGGTATACAATTATATAAGTATTATAAACTTTCATAAAACTGCTTCAGAATATTTTTAAATCACACAATTATACCAGTGTTAATGTCTTAGTCTTAATAACTGTACCATCGTTATGCAAGATGGTATCATTAAGAAACTGGACAAAAAGTATATGAGAATTCTGTACTATTTTTGCAACTTTTCTGTAAGTCTAAAATTATTTCAAAATAAATTTTGAAAAGTCACACAACCTCATCCAAAACATAAAACTGCAAAATATATAAATATCTTAGTTATCAATTATGGTATAACCAAAGCTCACTAGCTTACAATTTTCTGTAAGTCTAAAATTATTTCAAAATAAATTTTGAAAAGTCACACAACCTCATCCAAAACATAAAATTGCAAAATATATAAATATCTTAGTTATCAATTATGGTATAACCAAAGCTCACTAGCTTACAACAGCAGAACTTTTAAACATTTTAAGACCACTTTAAAGTATTTGCTTTCAAAACCACTTTCATGAACTGATAAGTGCATACACTAGAACACTAGAATGTACATGCTATATACAATAAAAAGTACAGCATTTCCTTCAGATGCTTTAAGAAACATATCAAATGATCAACTGTGCCTTACTTACAGGTTATTACCATTTTAAAAAGTATCTACTCCTAGCCATGTGCAGGGTTAGACACTTTATATAGACTATGTTGTTTTATTTACATTTTATAGATTTAAAAAAAACATAAAGCTAAGTCCACTAGGTAGTTGTTAAGTGAGCTGCCCATGGTCACAACAGCTAATAAAAGGTAGAGTAAAGATTCTAGCCCAAGCAATACATTATCTCATCCAGTTCCTGGTAAGATCAATAGTCCACAATAAGTTAGAAATGCTATCCATACTAAATACTGCAAAATTCATTGTTTATACACAGATTAAGTCCACGAAGTTACCCTCATACACATGGCATACTAATCAGAATAACTGATCCATAGAGACAGCTTCTACCATCATTTACCATTTCTTTTTTTAATTTTAGGTTTGGGAGACTTTTATATAGCTTAAGAAGTGACAGCTAAAAGGTTGAGAATAATAAAGATTTACCAAAAGGTAAGAATCAAAAGGGAAAACTTGGCTGTATAAATACCACCCAGGGGACGTAACAGCACACTTTAAAATCAAACAAACCTTGAGTTGAGTCTGCTCCTTTACTTAGTAATTATATATCTTGATCTAGCAAGTAAATTGATTTCCCTTGGAGAACCTAACAACATAGTGCTTGACTCATAGATCTTAAATATATATAATTAGAAAATGCTGTTTAAGAGACAAAATAAATAACCAGAATTTGATATAAATTCTGCACTGGAAAACAGTAAACTAGTCAAAAAAGTATGCAGCTGTGTAGTGGATTGAATTATGTTCCCCCAAAACTCACTGAAGCTTGAATTGTGTCCCCCAAG